GGTGGAACACAGAGTGGACCCAGGGTTGTGCCTTGTGGTATACCTCAGGGTTCGATTCTGGGGCGTCTCTTGTTTCTTATATATATAAATAATATAAAAGATCTCGGGCTTAAGGGAGACATAATGTTATACGCCGATGACATCACTCTATTCTACTTTGGCTATTCTATAGACTCTGTTATTAAAGACGCACAAAATGACTTCGATCTTCTAAATATCTGGTTTCAATGCAATCGGCTACCTATAAATATATCAAAAACAAACTATATGTTATTTACAGCAAAAAAACAAAAAAATATCACATTATACACCATTGAAAATAAATAATCAAATTATAAATAAAGTTGATGAACAGAAATAACTTGGACTGATCTTAGACTCGCATTTAACATGGAAACCACATATTTCTAAAATTAAAACAAAATTAACTTCTCTTTCTGGAGCCCTACGGGGTATGATTACATGTTTACCGCACCGAATTCGATATAATATATATAACTCTCTCATAAAACCGCATTTAGAATACTTGACTGAAATTTGGGGCACTGGTGCAAAAACAAATCTAGAACCACTACAAAGGTCACAAAATAAATAAATTAAAACCTTGTTTAAATATGATTTCCTCGCACCAACAAATCTACTATAAAAAGAAACAAAATTATTAAATATAACTCAAACATATATATATATATAAAAATTGTATATTAATAAGAATAAATATTAAATAAAGACATACATACTCAAATAACATTCACAAAAAAACAACAAATACAAAAAGTTAGACTAAGACGTGTAAACGACCTTTGCCTCTTAACCCCAAGAACTAATTATGGTAAAAAAAATTTAATGTACGAAGGTGCAAAATTGTATAACCAATTACCGAAAAATATTAAAGAAGCAAAATCAATGCCAACTTTTAGAAAGCACTTAAAATATTATTTAACATCTAATCTGAGCGCACCTTAGTTTCACTATTTCACACGTCACTTCTAGCTACGCTCGATCTGTGTAAGGTGCGCGTCCAAGCATTGTTTGCTCCTTGTTTATGTTAGTTTTTTTACAGGTACCCTGTTAATCTACATTGTATTTTGTTTATATTTAGAAATTAAAATTATTTAAAATGTATACCTACGATTTGAACGTGTTTGAGTGAAATGATTTCGATATATTAGTGTACGCCTAGGATAAGATTATTATTTGTTTGCAAGTATTTAAACTTTCTCATGAAAGTGATTTGTTGTAAATTCTTATGAGAAATAAAGATATCTCAAACCTCAAAACTTAAATTAATTAGATAGTTGATTGGGGTCTGCATTTAAGCAAGTAATGCTTGTGTTTGGAAACCCCGTTCTTCCTTATTTAAACATTCATTTTAATTCTAAAATCCAAAAATGACAAACCAATTACTCTATTTTAACAACCAAAAATGGCGCGGGCGGGCGGGCGTGCGTGCGTGCGTGCGTTTGTGCGTGCGTGCGTGCGTGCGTGCGTGCGTGCGTGCGTGCGTGCGTGCGTGCGTGCGTGCGTGCGTGCGTGCGTGCGTGCGTGGGTGCGTGCGTGCGTGCGTGCGTTCGTGCGTGCTTGCGTTCGTGCGTGCGTGCGTGCGTGCGTGCGTGCGTGCGTGCGTACGTGCGTGCGTGCGTGCGTGCGAGCGTGCGTGCGTGCGTGCGTGCGTGCGTGCGTGCGTGCGTGCGTGCGTGGGTGCGTGCGTGCGTGCGTGCGTTCGTGCGTGCTTGCGTTCGTGCGTGTGCGTGTGTGTGTGTGTGTGTGTGTGTGTGTGTGTGAGTGTGAGTGTGTGTGTGTGTGTGTGTGTGAGTGTGAGTGTGAGTGTGAGTGTGAACGTGATTGTGGGTGTGTAAGTGTGTGTGTGTTTGAGTGTGTGTGTGTGTGCGTGTGCATGTGAGTGTGCGTGTGCATATGCGTGTGCGTGTGAGTGTGTGTGTGTGTGTGTGTGTGTGTGTGTGTGTGTGTGTGTGTGTGAGTGAGTGTGAGTGTGAACGTGAGTGTGGGTGTGTAAGTGTGTGTGTGAGTGTGAGTGTGTGTGTGCGTGTGCATGTGCGTGTGCGTATGCGTGTGCGTGTGCGTGTGCGTATGCGCGTGCGTGTGCGTGTGCGTGTGCGTGTGCGTGTGCGTGTTCGTGTGCATGTGAGTGTGCGTGTGCGTGTGCGTGTGCGTGTTCAACTCTGCGATGAGTGTGGAATTAGGCGAATTGAAGTTAGTTAAATGTACAATGAAGCTAAGAGACTATTGACAGTGAAGAAAGAAGTGGTCCGGCGCTGAAGCAGTCTGGCCGCTGCTGGTTGCCTATGCTTGCCAAGGCCCCACACATTCACACATCTCACACTTCACACATACACGACTCGCTATCTACCATTACACACACTCACGGCCTGCCCAAGCCTTGGAGCGAAGTTAGCTCCTGATACAGGTAAGTACCTTTGCTTTCTAGTTTGCTCCCATATAGTTTATTGTGATAGAACATATTCCACGTGGCCATATTGAGGCCCGACCTGCGTCTGCCCGTCGAAGAAGCTGCTATGGGCCCCAGCCAAGGCGACCTTTACAAAGGCAGCTGTAGGCATTAACAACCCTGTTTATACAGCTTCAACTTAACAAAACATTTAAACTTGGTAATAGAGAGAGCCTGTACACATTCCAGAACCTTGTTGTAATAGCGTATACATTGCCCCAAGAATGAATTACTGACTCTGTGGAGTCGAGAAACTGGTATCACTAGCTTGTGTTTGTTCCTAATGTTTACAGAATGTTTATCACTTTTTTACTAAAACTACCTTTGTTTTTGTGAACATACATTAAATTTTATATAAATACATACATAAAATTAATATGTAAATTTATTTCTTTAAATTTATCTCTAAGAGACTCTCTCGGTTTTGGGTTGTAAATAGCTCTAATGGACCTCTTCTGTAAAACAAAAATAGTTTCTGAATCAGCCGCATTTCCCCATAGCAAAATCCCATAAGACATTGTGCTATGAAAATAACTGAACTAAACTAATCTAGCTGTCTTAACACTAGTGAGACCTCTAATCTTTTTTACAGCATAGGCTGCAGAACTTAGTCTGCTTGCTAGTTTGGATATATGGGGGCCCCACTGAAGCTTTGCGTCGAGAGTGATGCCAAAAAAAACAGTGGATTCAACAGGGCTCAGTTCTTTCCCATTTAAAAACACATTGGTACTCAGATTTTTAACATTCGTTGTTGTAATTTTTTTTTTCTTTAAAAAAACATTACCTCCACACTAGGATTTTCTCCTGTATCGTAGAGGCAGTTTACAAACACAAATTGCACAAGGACAAACATCCAGACCCGGAACAATTATTTGTAGGCCATACAAATACTTGTTCCGTGCGGTATTTGAACCCGCGGCTCCCAGCGTTGCAACTTATTGCTAAGCCACTGCGCCACGGAGCCTTAGATTTTAATACATTTAGTTTTATTTCCGTTTAAATGTAGATTATTAACGTTAAACAAATGCACTAATTTTGATACAGCATTATTCACTTTGTCACATTTAAATGATTGACGATTAAGTTTAAAAATCAAGGAAGTATCATCAGCAAATAATACTATATCATGATTATCCCCTAGGATAGGAAGGTAAGTCATTAATATACACTAGAAATAGGAATGGGCCGAGAATGGAGCCCTGAGGGACGCCCATTAGTACAGTTGACCCGGAAGAACTTTTACCATTGATAATAACTTTCTGCATTCTATTACTTAAATATGAAATAATAACTTTAAGCCCTGTGTTCTTGACACCATAGTACTGTAGCTTCCTGATTAATGTCTCATGGTGAATGCTGTTGAAGGCCTTGGAAAGATCACAAAATATACTCAAAGTATCCTCTGAATTCTCCCATGCACAAAAAATATGTTTAATAAGCTCAACTCCAGCGTCAGCTGTAGAGCGACCCCTTGTAAAAGCAAATTGATTTTTATGGAGCAATTTATTAATATTAAAGAAACTTAACATCTGATGAACTATACTTAGAAACCACATTATCAATTGTGACTGCCAACATTCTATTTTTCCAAGCTGGCACATGCATCAATTGAAAAGATTATCACGTTAAAACATATTTGTGGCAAACATTGCAAATCCGAGGATTTTGAACCCAACTAAAACGAACTGTTATTTCATCAGTGGACTTAATTTAAACTTCCACAATTATGTGTATGTTAATTAGGTTTCATTTACATGTAGCAAAAGATAATATCCCTTTAAAGTCACATTTTGGTAAGAATTCGATTATATAACTAAACTCAAAGTTATTTGTTTATAAATATTTTTTATAGATTCATCTACAAACATTAGCTATAATGAACACTCATTTTGACAGTGACAATTAGTAAACGATCTCTGCGTGTAGTATGTACATAGGTACCTCTATGAAGAAGCCTAGCGATTTGTACACAGTATTTGTTACACTCAAAAGCAATTTAATCCAATCAGTGTTAAAAAAAAAAACAATATTTTTACCCTTTAAAAAAACTTACGTTGAAAACAAGCATCCAGACGCACAACACTTGTTCAGTGCGGGAACGAAGCCTCGGTCCTGCAATGCTGCAGCCAAAAGCTTAGCCACTGAGATACGGAGTAGTCATTTATTTTCCACTTAATTAATTACTAGTATAATAGTGCGTTTTTCATTTTATATTTTCCTTATACATATTCTTGTATAATTACAAATTGCTGTGTGTAAAATACATTGATTTCTTATCCTCATTGGCATTTTTACTCAATCCCCACGTTAAAAAATTTATTTCTCTTAAATAATTCAGTACAGAGATCTAACTTTTAAATGTAAAAATATTGATAAATAATATATCGATAAACGTTATGTCGATAAAATTAATTCGAGTACAGACATACCAGCACTATTATAACTCGCCAATGTTGTCAGCCCTGTTTGTCAAAAATTAAATGTCATGTCTTGATATTGGTAGAGTAGCTTGTCGCCTGTTCATACATTTACTTTTTCTTAGGAAGTCCCGCCTCTTAAACGTACCTAGTGATTATTAATTATATTCTCTTTGGTAGTTGTAGATGTTCTGACCTACATCTGACTCAGATAGAGAGAATTCTCTATATCTATGGTTCTGACCACAAACTAATAAATAGTGCGACCGCAGTTCTGACAGTGCGTTTTGAGTGAAAGGCCTATGAAAACATTCGTCATTCATTCATCATTCATAAACGTGAACGCGAATCGTGGAAACATGTCTGCCGTTTGTGTTTTTTGACATAAATACCAACAAAACAGAAAGTTTAGCCATCATTGTGTTTGCAAATACTTAGTGATTTTCGGTGCTACGTTGGTTTTATAATGTGTGTGATTGTGTTGTGATCTTGTTCATATGAGGCTACTATATAAAACTGGTCCGATGGAGTCTCTCAGAAAATGGTTCTACAAACCAAAGGTACGTCAAAATAATCTTGTAATTTCTTTTAAGTTTTTATGTATTTTGACCTGTATACCACTGGTGACATTCAATAGTATTCTTTAGATCAAAATGAAAGACAAATCTGTTTATAATTTGTATTTAAAATATAGGGAATTACTTATTCTTTGTTGTTACGTCGTTATTTTCCCTGTGTTGCTTATTCTATTATAAATTTATTGCCATTGTTCCGATTACCCTTAAGATTTATAATATTTCATTACTGAGCTTGTGAGTATTGAGCTCTATTAACTTATTATTTTCATTTAGATACATACCTTATTTAACGATGGCTAAAATTAATGTAACATTATATTTGATATTAATGAAATTTGTAATAAAATGTGTGGTTTGTAACTCTTTCCTGAAATTTTAAAATTACAATATAATAAATGGTCAAATATTCTTAGTGTCAACATTACATAGCTGTTATGCTAAAACTGATTATAGAATCAAGGCAGAATAATATTTTGATAAATTTTATCATTTTATTTATAATTGAATCTAATTATAAGTGGTATCTACATCTATACAAATAAGTAAAATTGAAGTGTCTGTTTGTAATGTCAAAATAACAGCTTTTTACTAAATGCATACTAAAGTACATACGGTACTTATAACAAAAACACAATTTTTAAAATTTTTGTCTGTGCGTCTGTTTGCTTCGGCTAATATCTGAAACAGTTGAACCGGTTTTGATGAGACTTTCACTGACAGATAGCTAATATTATAAGGAGTAACTTATGCTACTTTTATTTTTGAAAAAGAATAAGAGTTCCGTGAAAAAAAAATAAAACCCATGAAGTCTAATCATAATAAATTACCAGCAGGTGAAGTCGCGGGGAACAGCTAGTAATAAATAAACTTGAAAACCTTATTGTCTAATTTTTAGATTTTATATATATCTTTAAAAATTTACATTATTTATTAATTAACTAAATCTGAGTCTAAAATATTCCTATCATTTTTATAATTTTTTTAGCTTAATAAAAATACATAATTTGATGTTTATATTCTGATCTTTCTTAACATGTCACTGGACAGTTGCAATTAGTCTGATTTATGGAACTCCAAGTTTTAACTTAACATCTTCATATCTATACAAATAAATAAAATTGAAATGTCTGTTTGTAATGTAAAAATAACAGCTTTTTACTAAATGCATATGAAAGTATATACGGTACTAATAAGAAAAAAACAATTTTTTAAATTTATGTCTGTCTGTTTGTTCTGGCTAAACGGCTGAACGATTTTGACTTTCACTGGCAGATAGCTGATGTTATAAGGAGTAACTTAGGATACTTTTATTTTAGAAAAGAAGGTTCCTTTCAAAAAATTTAAACCCATGAAATCATAGTACATTCCATGTGGGTGAAGTCTTCCTCACCAAATTTTGGTCATGGCAGCCATTCTAGCAAAGATTAGTCATCTACAGGACAGCAGGACAATATTATAGTGTCCGAGTGTATGTGCAAGCACATGTGCACTCTCATAGTCCGATGGGATGGGACAATCCAACATGACTAGAGAGAGATCAGGCTCCAGGTCCAACGATACAAAGGTGTAAGACACCGCCAGCTTCCTGACTCCAGTAACAATATACATTATGTATAATATATATAAGTACACTACTGTTCAAAAGCTTAGAAGCAGCCAGATAAAAACAACAAAGCTGTCAATTTTATTTTTATTGATTTTAAATACAAACTAAATTTAAAAAGTAAGAATTTAACACACAAGTAATATGAAAATTAATTAAAATTTTTAGCTTCTTCGAAATATCCACCTCTGTCTTTTATTATCTTATTGCATATTTTAGGCATTCTGTTAATTTATTTCTTTAAATAATCTTTATTTAACTTGTTCTCTTAGCTCTTCAATAGTTGCCACAAATGTTTTGAGCTTATTGGAGATTGATTTTTCACCCTTCGGTCGAGGTTATCCCAAACAAGTTGAATGATAGAAAGGTCAAGTGATTGAGATGGCTATTGCATGAATTTTAAAATCTTGTCATTTTTTTCTTATTCAAAAAGTTCTGACACAGTTTTGACGAATGCTTAGGATCATTATCCTGTTGAAAAATGAATCCAGGACCAATGAGATTCAGTCTACTAGATATGGCAGAACTTTTAATAATTTTTAGATAGCCTTCCTTGTTTAGTTCTCTGGTTATCCTCACAAGATTTCAGGGTTTACTGTCACCAAAACACCCCCAAACCATGACATTACCACCACCATATTTGATTATAGGCACTGTACATGCTTCTGAAGCACTCTTCTTTTGACCAGCTTACAAACACGTTTATTGGACCAGAAAATCTGAAACTTTCATTTGTTCATCCAAAGCACATTTTCACATTGATCTATTGTCCAGTTTTTATGTGCCTTTGCTCATTCTGGTCTAGTTTTCTTATGTCCAATTGTTAGCTTTGGTCTTTTAGCAGTTTGTGGATTTGGGCCTACCAGATCTTTGTCTATCTCCATTATTCCCGGTTTCTTGTTTTCTAGCAAGCAGTAGTGGATACCTTTACAAGCCCTTTTCTGCAATTTGAAGTACAAATAGCACTTATCTGTTCAAGTGTGATTTGCTTGTGTTTTCCATTTTCAGAAAGAAAAAGTATAGTCAAAGCAATTGTCAAAATCTTTCGCATACAGAGTATGTTAATATCACAAACTTAGCGTGCCAATGCTTAAGTGAGTCCAAAAAAGTTAAAACTAGCAAAAATGTTCAATAAAACCCATTGTATAAAAGAAAGCAGCTGAGGGATTAAGTTGTAAAACACATGAGGAATTTCTTAAAACTCGATGAATGTAGTATGATAATCCTTTTGTTTTTGTGTGAACAGTTGTAAAAGGTGGTAAAACTTGATTTTAGTACTAACTTACTGCATATTGTCTAAGATGTTTTTAAAAGTATAGATACGTCATACTCACTCTAAAATGGCAATATTGCCCGACTTGCATTCAGTCGAGCACGCTCTCGCATCGTGGCTATACCTTTGCTACAGCACATTAATCTTCTAGTTGTTCATGGTAAAAAGGCCTTCCTGTGTTTTTAGGCGGTGCACAAATTACATGGTAACTGTTAAAGACTAGAAAAACCGTCGCGTTAATATTTTGAATATAGATGAAAGTTCATAATTGATTTTATTATTTTAACACTAATTACTTATCTTATTATTGCATGTTCATTTTATATGGATTGCTTTGAAAAATAATAATCATCACCTGATTCAGTCTGTAAGATTTTATAAGGGTTAATAATGTAAGGCAATTAAGTGGCATAAAAAAGGCCTAGGGTACAGCAATGGATTTTATAGGCAGTGATACTATTATTTATTCTGTGGTAATAGATAGAAGTGGCATGTAATAAATGTCAGAAAGACTTATCTGGAGTAACAGCAGAACAGAAAAACTAAAAAGTATGGTACTAGCTAAACTAAGTTTTTTGTTATTAAATGTTTTTAACCCCTGACACAAACAAAGGGCTGTTATTATGTTTAATATGTGTATTTGCGTGTCTGTGACATTGTAGCTCCCAAACAGATGAACCATTTAGATTTAGTTTTTTTTTTATTTAGGCTTGACGGAGAGTGAAATCTTTTCAGCCGTTTGAAGATCATCAGCTCTTTTTGTTTTGGGAGTTTTCAAAATTTTCAATTTAAGTTATTGGGAGATATCCTTGAGATATTTTTGCTACCTCTCTAGGCATGATAAATATTATTTATCATAATTTTATGTGTAATTGTTTAAAATTTTCAAGAGTATGTGTATATTTTTATATTATTTGTATTCAAATTATAAAGAACTTTTCTCAGGCCACATAGCTTGCTTTCATTTATTACAGTCCCACAAAAATACACTGAACACAGCTTTAGATTGTCTCATAGGGGGATATTTGCCATAGGTGTCGCAATGATATACACATATAAAAAATTATATTTACTTTGGCATAATTTGAGGAGTATCTATGCTACACATTTATTACTATAATGTAAGAAAATGTTGACGTTTCACAGTAATAATTTGATATGGGTTAACAGTATACTGGATTGTTAATATGATGGTTTGTTTTTGAGTCTGTCTAGGTTTAAGGGTAGTTGGGGTCATCTGCAACTTGTAGCCCTTATTATTGTCCTAATTACTTTGTTACATTTACAATATGCACTAATGGTGATATTTGTTTGAAAAGAATTTTGTAAATATTTTACTTACAATTTGTGTTAATTTGTCAGCTACCGACCTGACTTTAGGTGGTCAGAAACAGAATTGACTGCCTTATGAGCAATAGCTTTTCAAAATTCATAAAATGGCCTCCATGTTTGCTTATGTGTGTTAGCAGACTTCACATGCCTTCGAAATATTTTTTTATTTCTTAGACATGCAGGTTTCTTCTTGATGTTTTCCTGTATGTGGTAAATCAGCACTTAAAATTGCAATTAACAATTTCATTTGTGCTGGACGGGGATTGAACCCAGGTTGCCGGATTGTTGGTGAAATTTACCGCAATCACTAAGCCCCTCAGCTACCACGGCGCCGCCTGAGTTACCACGCGGCTCCCGCTGAGCTACCACAGCGCACCCTGAGTTACCACGCCACTCCTTGAGCTATCACGGCTCCCAATTACACACAACTCACTATCCAAATAGTGTCAGTCACACCAATGTGAAGGTTTACTAATCATTTCTTCCAATGGTTTACAAATACAATATATAATATCTATTCACAATTAACAAACACAAAACTTACAGCCTAGTTCCAGAGAGCAGCATTAACAGTGATATATTATTTGCTCACCGCTACTCATGGTGTTCAGCATGATGAATGGGGTATTGTCGTTTTCAATTTGAGTGTAAGGGGAATGTATATCTTGTTATATTATTTAATTATATTTCTTAAGTTTTTAATCATTTAGTTGGCATGGTTATTAACATGGGTGTCTAATAGTATTGATTCCCAAGTAAAATAATCATTAAGTT